TATTTTGAATCACCCTGTATCAATCACGAGACATCACGAGACATGTTATCACGAGACACGTTATTATTAAAAAATAAATTGGCACAATATATGTATAAGATTATATTAGGTTCACTCTATTTACCGGCGCTCGTATAATTAAGTCGGTAACGTCAGTCACGTCAGCCGCGCTTGCGAGCGCCACGTGCGGCAGAAATATGAAATGGAATTTTAGTGGTTGACGACGACGACCACGTTTCTTAATCTTGATTTCACAACCGCGGACTTTGCATTGCAATATCTCCACTCATGGGGCACGTAGGAGAAAAGTAAAAACACTTTTATTATGCAAATCGTACCCAAGCTATCGATTAAGCGCAGTCTCAAGTTCGTCGGATCAGCCGTTGTTGAGATCCGAAAATCTGAGGGCCCGTCAACTCGTGTACTCGCGTAAACTTACACGGTCGGTGTCGCGCGCGTAGTTAGGTTTGTCGCTTATACTTAGTCGCTTATACTTAGCGCGAGACACTACCGTGTCTCGTGATACCGGAGTGGTTGTTTCCTTGACATTGTTGACCAATACCATGTGACCTAGGTTTATGTATTCGTTTAAAAAATCATCGTAAAGCTTATAGAATGCGGGATTCGCTGAAAATCGGTTGAATTGGCTATTGAGACATCTGAGCGCCTTTATCTTTGACTCCCCCAGGAGAGCGGGGTCAGACTTAAAGGGGAGACGGACTACATAGCGTCCGGTGGTATCCCGCTTGTGGGTGGACAAAAAATGGCGTTCACATTCCTCTTCGTCTTCAGTCCGGACAGTGGATGTTGGGGTAGATAACTCCTCCTGAGTCCAAAATCGGGCGAGTAAATCTTGTAGGTCAAGATCGGCGGTGCAGTGATACGTTTGCACTGAGTGTGTTACGTTCTCGGAAACAGAACCGGAAAGGACCCAACCAAAGATGGTTTGTTGTGCTATAGGAGACGATTTATTCCCTCGTATAAGTCCAGGTTGTATAACTGAGCCGTAGTTATCGGCTCCTATTATTATATGTATAAGTCCCGGACTGGAGAAGTCCGGATCTGCCAATTGCAATCCGGCAATATGAGGCCAAAATTGGTTGTCCTTACGGAAAGGGGGTAGCTTGTTGGTTAGCTTTGGCAGAATATAAGTATTAATTTTACATTCGGAAGTTGAATCATGGATTGACCGTAAATTGATTGTTACCATTCCTCTGGTACGACCGGAGTGAGTACCTCCAATACCGATGAGCGGTATGGAAGCCGCAGTGCGTGGAAGTTTTAGGCGTCGGACCAGATCCTCCGTGACAAAGGACATCTCAGATCCTTGATCGATAAGAAGTCGAACGATCTGATTGTCTCCGTTAGGTCCGGCAGTAAGGCTCGGCTCGTAGCGAGGAGAGTAAGTGTTCTAGTTGGAGACACTCGAATAGAATGGTGCGCACACGTGCTGGTGAGATCATGCGGTTTAACCTGAGCACGGTCGCGGATGAGATTTCGCGTTGAAGATTGTTGAGTGAGCTCGTTGGATTGAGCCGATTCTTGTTGCAGCAGTCAACTTGACGTCGATGGTTGTGGGGGCTCATCCTTTTGTGAAGCGATCTGGTTTTTCACCGACTTATTAACCGGAAGTGTCGTAGGAGTCGTGGTTCTAGTCTCGTGTAGGGAGGTATGATGTCTCTTGCCACAAGTGAGACAACGTTACGTCGATTTACACATGCTCACGTTGTGAGAGCCAAGGCAATTGAAACATCTCTTGTGCTTAATAATGATCTCCCGGCGTTGTTTAAGGGCTTTGGATTGGAAGCGATCACATTTTGCTACGTAGTGTGCTGCTCCACACAGCGGACAGTTGAGAGAGCTGTTATCTGAATGAGGCATTGTGGTATAGGCTGCGAAACCGGCGCGAGGTTTGCGAGAATTGTTTGAGAAAGGTTCTTTATTTGATCCCGAAGCCAGGTTCGGTTGAAGGTTCTCCATGGCTCTTGTCCTTCCGCTTAAAAATTCTTCGAATTGACTGAAGGTTGGGAACGTAGGAGATGAGCCGAGTTTCACCTCCCAAGCCTCCCGAGATTCCGAGTCTAAGAGCCTCGTAAACTGGTGTATCAACAAGGGATCCCAATTGTGTACGGAACAGTCGAGGGCCCGTAATGCTCCGATGGCTTCTAGAATTGTTGTTAGGAGAGTCCTCAGCCCGTTGGCGCTCTTTGTTTCGAGGGGCTTCAAGTTCGCGATACGGTCGAGTTGCGCGCTAATCAAGAATCGTTTATTCTCGTATCGCGATAGTAATAGGTTCCAAGGTATGGCGAAGCTATCTCCCGAAAGTGGCAAGTTACAGATAAGTCTAGCCGCCTCTCCAGTGAGACACGTTTTTAGATAGTGCATTTTTTCTACGTTAGTCAAGTCAGAGTTTACTTTGATCAATGAAACAAACAAATCGTGAAATGTTCTCCACGAATGATATTCTCCGGAAAAGTTTGGCAATTTAATTCTTGGAAGTGCGCTGCGCGGCAACAACGAACGGACCGCCCCTTGTTCTGAATGCGCAGAACCGGAAGACTGACCCACGCTGTCTAATTCCTCCTGTTTGGTAAGTAGTTTTGCACGCTAGTACACATAGAAGGCTTGGCAGCGCTCGTAGACTCGTTCCCTTACATAGGGCTGATGACTCAGATTTTCGGATAGACATAGGTTCTCGTGTTCTTCCTGAAATCTATTCCAATTCTGTTCCAACAAGGTCAACCGGGTAGTAATAAGTTGTCGATTGAAAGGCGGAATGTCTTGTTCGGTGAAATCAGCGGCCTCTTGTATTAAATTAAACCGACTCCTTTGTAAGGAGATTCGTGCATCAATGTTTGCCATCTTGATCAGTAGCGTGGTTCGACGTCGAGACCCAACAGAGTACAACGTCGCTAAAGTATATGGTGTGGGGTAATCAAGCAAAGAACAAATGTAGGTAGTGCCGCGAGGCTGGCTCAATATATGAGATAGGTGATAACTTCGTTGTGACAAATCTTATTATATTATACAGGTAGGTAATTTAACCAGTAGTTCAATAAAATGAGCATGTAGCTAGGCGTGTTAGTTTCAACAGTGACAATTTAAGCAATTTAATAAAGTCGTGAACATATTAAATGAATACGTAAATCAATCAAAGGCTATCTAGTAAGAGAATCAAAGGCTAATCTAGTAAGAGAATGATTAAATTTGCAATTAATCGTAGTAAATTAATCAAGAACGTAGTGAGAAAATTATTAAATTTGCGAACAACCGTAGTAAATTAATCAAGAACGTAGTGAGAAAATTATTAAATTTGCGAACAACCGTAGTAAATTAATCAAGGACGTAGTGAGAAAATTATTAAATGGTTAAATGTAGTAGACAAAGGAGACTCTCAGACATGTGAGAACATAATACATGTGACAGATACACATAATAAATAATACATGGGACAGGTACACATATTAAATGATACACACATGGAGCATAATGTACATGAGATACAATCGAAATCAGAGAAATAATAACACATGAGACACAATTGAATAAGATATCAGAGAAATAATAACACATGTGACACAATTGAAATATATATCAGAGAAATAATGACACATGTGACACAATTAAATTGTAGTAATGGTGCGCTATCGACGAGGGCGCGATACGCTGCCACTCGTGCGTTTTGTCATAAAACAATCAAGTAAGCCAAGACTCGTTCGATTTGTAATATTCTGCAAGCTCTGAAAGGCTGTCAATTGCGCGGTTCGCAGCAATCGCACTTATATTTTCTTGTTATCACGAGACACGGTAGTGTC